CAGACAGACACACACACACACACACACACACACACACACACACACACACACACAGCCAACACCCCTTCCCGCCCCCCCAACAAAAAAACCCTGGGAATTTCACTTAAATCAAATACTAAAATATTAACTTAAATATTAAGTATTTAAATCATATAAAGATCTCACATTTAAAAATTATTTAGTATAGATACATAGATTTGTTTTTATGTGCTAGATAACATTTTATTGGTTGAATTCTTTAGGAAGAATTGTTTCTTTGTTAATAGAACTCTGTTTTGAGCTCTTACATTTGATGGCTTCTGTTAGGTATATTCTGTATTAAAAACTGTTTTGTCTTATCTCTGGCTTTTCTCTGTGTCATTAGCTAAAAAAGATTAGATCTTTACTTTTGGCTGGAGCTGCTGACTATGATAACTTCTTTCAACATTTGCGTCTTTTGGATGGAGCCTTTAAACTCTCTGCTAAGGACCTGCGGTCTCAGGTAGTGCGGGAGGCTTGTATCACGTTGGGGTAAGGACCATGATGCTCTGTATTCTCACACACCATAAAGTAGTCTTGGCAAAGAGCCTCAGAGATGGCTGCTTGCACATGTCCATTGGGTCTCCTCAACAGAACCTCTGACTGGTCTCAAAGACCCTTGCCAGCTTACTGTCTGTTCATATGTTAATTTTGCCTGATTAAGCAAAGTGCAGTGGATTTTAAATTTTACTCAATGATGTATCTCTGAAGCCTGTATCTAAAATTTGAAACAGTTTATATTATATGAAAATAAAATTGTATAGAATTATGTTTCTCATTTTTTCATTGATTTTTTTGCTTAGAGAATATAATGTGACTATTAGACTGTTTACATGCTTCTAGAAGAGTGCTATATGCTATAACATTAAAGTTAATGACAAGTACTATGGTAACATTTTATTTTAGCTAAAACTGTTCCAAACTTAATATTTGAATGTGTTGGAATATTGAAGCAGCAAGTACCAGCAGATATTGCAGCTATTTAGTTTTGGTGGCAGGCAGATATAGTATGTGAAAAATTTTTAAAGGCCAAGGGAGTCTATTGTTTACAAGCAATCTATTGTTATTTTAGAACGGAAATAATTATAAAAAATAACTCTTTAAATAAGCATTAAAAATTACTTTTTAAAGTATCTTTGATCCTTGTCTTTTATCTCTAGATGACCTTGAAGGCTTTCAAATGTTAAGAATTTTTATATGCTTCACTTTAATAAGGCTATAACTACAATCCTGCATTCATTTCTTATTATAGGCATCTGTCATCAGTTCTGGGGAATAAGTTTGACCATGGAGCTGAAGCCATTATGCCAACTATCTTTAATTTAATACCAAACAGTGCCAAAATTATGGCCACTTCTGGTGTTGTAGCTGTTAGGCTAATCATTCGGGTAAGTATATTGCAGGGCCATTCATAAAATAAGCAATTGGTAAATGTAGGTGATAAGAAGAGGTAAAGACATTTCTGATTAGAGTATTATTTAATTGGACTCATACTATACATACATCATCCTTTTTTTTCTACCTGCCATTTGCAGGTAGGCTTTTTGTGGTTTGTGATGTGATCTGTAGGTATGGATTACATTTACTAAGGTATTGATCATTAACTCATCATTGAGGTGTGTGTGTGTGTGTGTGTGTGTGTGTGTGTGTGTGTGTGTGTGTGTGTGTCTGCGCGCGCATGTGCCTGCATGTGTGCACACACGTGCGCATGCCAGCCAGTACTAGGGCCTGAAATCAGGATCTGGGCACTGTCCCTGAGCTTTTTTTGGGGGGGGGATTGGAGATCCGGTCATGGGACCTGAACTCTGGGCCTGGGCGCTGTCCCTCAGCTCTTCAGCTCAAGGTTAGCACTCTACTTGAGCCACAGTGCCACTTCCGGCTTTTTTTTTCTGCTTATGTGGTGCTGAGGAATCGAACCCAGGGCCTCATGCACGCAAGGCAAGCGCTCTACCACTGAGCCACCTTCCCAGCCCTCCCTGAGCTTTTTTTGCAGAAGGCTACTGTTCTGCCACTTGAGCTACTATTACACTTCTGGCTTTTTTCTGTTGGAGGATAAGTGTTTTATGGATTTCGCTGTCTGAGCAGGTCCTTGGGATTTCAGCATTCTCAATAGTAGAATTATAGGTATGAACCAGCATTCCTCATTGGTTTACTTTGTTTCTTTCTTGAGGTGCCTGGGGACTGACTCCTATGTAGATACTCTACCATAGAGCTGCGTCCCTTGCCTCTAGCTGCTCCCATTGCTCACTCTGGTCTCATCTTTCTGCTATTGTTCTTGTTCTTTCCTCCTTAATCCCAGTACTTCCATGTTAGGTATTTGTGTTGAAGATTTGCTATTTAACCCAAAGGTTAATTAATTGCACATAAACATAGAAACCAAATGATCTCTTCACTAAAGTTTTCTAGGCACTATTTAAATCACCTCTGAGTAACCTACTTGCAGGTTTTTAGTAAAGCTCAACAAGAATAATCTTTTTAAAAGGAAAATTTTCTACAACCCATCCTCCTTACCTTCAGGGTCCAGCTTGTGAAACTTTGGGTCTTAATGATTCTGATTAAAACCTATCTAGAATGTTCTTGATTATCATGGGTTACTGGCTTTTATTTTCATTTTTTCTTGCTTATACTGTCTACTTCAAAGGTTAGATCCACAGACATTATTTTATGTTTTCAGTTAAACAGTGCCAAAATCTTGATTCTGTTACACTTAGATCTCATACCAGTGGTGTTTTGACTTTATACTGAATTTTATATCATCATGTTTGTAGTGGCCTTTGACATCCCAGTGAAATACTATTTGCTTTATCAACTTAATAACTAATGACACTTAAGTCTGATGTACTGTAAAGACATAGGAAGGAAGCCAATCTCTTTGCTGAGTTTGTATTTGAAAATACTCACCTCTGTTTTTTTGTTTTTCTTCACAGCACACACACATCCCTAGGCTAATACCTGTCATAACAAGCAACTGTACCTCCAAATCTGTTGCAGTTAGAAGGTAAATTTTTAAAGTTCTTCTTATTATATTGAAATTGCTTAAAAACTGAGACAAATTCAAAATCTATCTCAATGTTTGAACTGTTTTAAGATAACTAATAAATGTTTTTGCATTTAAAAACCAAAGTTTAGAGAAATAAACTGTCGGGAGAGTTGGGTGGAAAGAAATAGAGAAGGAAGGGAAGAGGGTAGGGAGACAGACAGGAGACACATATGGTAGAGAGGAAGAGGAGAGGACCTCTGTACACTTTTTTCTGAGATAGACCTTTACCAACAATGTCATTGTTTTCCCCCATTCCTTTAGTAAAGACAGTAAAATACACTTACAAGAAAAATAGCATAATTAGTAGCAGTGATTTCATAATAACACATTACTATGAAATAGCATATGAAATATGTTGTTTGAGTCTTCTTATAGCAAATTCTGAGATACCTGCTTCTGCTACATTTTGTGTGATAGACACAGGAGATTCTACCCACATACATGACCTGGGTAATTAGCTGGCTGTTGTTCTCAAGTCCTTACATTGTCATGTGTCCTGGTCATCTTCCCTAGACTACTATATAGAATATATAGACTACTATATAAAATAAAGACTCTATTCCTGTAACTCAGATTGCTGATTCTTGACTATTGAATCAAGTCCCCTGAAATCTATGGATTCCCTTCCCAGTAAAACATAATCATATGGAGGTTTTTAGGGAATGCATATGGATAACTTTGTGGACAGGTCTTAGTGTGTTCTGTCACAAGCCTTGTAAGATAAGTTAGTGGCAGCTAGGACAGCAGCCTTTGGCTCCTACTCCCATAGTTTCATGTCTGCTCATATAGCTCCTAGTGTAGTGAAAGGTTCCAGCTTGCCTTATCTCTGTGTTGTGTGCCTCTTTTCCTGGGCTGTTATGTTGATACTGCCTTGATTCTTTATGAGTAGAAAAGCAGTCTTGTATCCAACCATTGTTTTAATTGACATATGAGAGTTGTTTATATATATGTTTATGGTGTACAACATAATGTGTTGGGATGGTTAAATAATTTAGTTGTTTAGTGTATCAGTGTATCTAATTCCTCACATGTTAGAGATTTACCCCCAGCCCCCAACCCTCCCGCCCCCCATGACAACATTTGAAATCTACTTTGAGCATTTGTGAAGTCTACAAATCGTTAATAATAGAATCACCATGACGTATGATAAATCTCTTGAATTTGGTTCTCTTGTCTAATTGAATATCTGTGTCCTTTGTCTAATTTTTCACCAGCTTCCGAATTCCCCTTCCTCTGGTAGCCACTCCTCTTCCATTGACTTTCTTTAGATTCCACATAATAGTGACATTATATTTGTCTTTGTATTTGTCTTTGTGTCTGGCTTCTTTCACTTAAATATAATATCCTTCAGGCTTATTCCTGTTGTCTCAAAGGATAGGATTTTCTTCTTTAAATAATACATCACATTTTCTTTAATCTGTTGAAAGATGATGGCCAGGTAGGTCTTAATCTGGCTTACTGTGAATAGTGCTGCAGTGAACTTACCAGTGCAGATGTCTCTGCCGTACTGATTGTATTTCCTTTGGATCAATACCAGTCCGTACCAATCCATAACACGATCCATTTTATAACAAGTATGTGAATGGCAAGAGAGAAAAAAGAGAATCCTCCTCTAAAACCATGGTAATATATATTTCCACTTTAGAAGTGTAGTCTCCAGTTGTGTGGCTTGGTTAGATATCTTGAGGAATGCAGTCTGTCCTTGATCTACAGCAAGAGCAGAGGAGAACAGTGTCAGGCGCCCTATATATAGAAAGTTAGCCAGGCGGTGGGAGAACTATGAACCTTGAAACCTGATGGTCCTCTGTTGAAAGCAGTACCTTATCTCACTTAGTAATAATTTATGTCATTATGTGTCAGAGTTACTTGTGTGGGTTGTTCTGAGGCTTCACAAGTCAAGTGTAAAGCATGGGTACTCAGTGAAAACTTGGTAAGTGATGACCATTATTAGAATTTGTTGTTGCTTCTGCTGTTATTAGCACTGTTATTTAAGTTTCCAACCTTTGTGTAAATTGAGGTAACACCAGTCTTTATTCTGGAATATAGCAGGTGTTTAATATATTAATCAGCTTTGGCCATAACAAAATACCATAGACTGGGTGGTTCAAACAACAGATTCTGGAAGATGGAATTCTTTTCAGTGGTTCCTTGCCACTCAGAGAGAGGGTGAAAAGGGAGACAAAGATGACAACGAAAAATTCTTATAAGGACACTAATCCTATCTAAGGGCCCCAGCCTCATGACTTCATCAAAACTCCTAAGGCTTTATCTACAAATAAACTTCACATTGAGGCTGAGGGCTTCATCAGATAAATTTGAGGTTGAGATAAATTTCAGTCCATAAAGTTCAGCAGTTTTGGCCTTTAGTAACCTACAGTCACCATGACAGTGGAAATTCTATCTTTTCATACCAGTTTTTCTTTTTTTGCTTTGTTTTTTGTTTTTTGTTGGTTATGGAGCTTGAACTCTGGACCTGGGCACTGTCCCTCAGCTCTTCAGCTCAAGGCAAGCTCTCTACCACTTGGGCCACAGTGCCACTTCTGGTTTTCTGGTGGTTTATTGGAGATAAGAGGCTCATGGACTTTTCTGCCCGGCTGGCTTTGAACCACATTTCTCAGATCTCAGCCTTCTGAGTAGTCAGGATTACAGGCGTGAGCCACCAGTGCCCGGCTAGTTTTTCTATTTTTGTATGTAGTGAGAGTATTTGTCTTGAAGAAAGCTCATTACCTGTTTGTGTTTCCTTGAGGGGTTCCCAGGGCTGATAATACTGTTTACTTCTAAAAGACAAGAATACTGGGCTTCAGAAAAAGGAAATCCTAAAGAGGCATAGTACCCAAAATGGTGATGTAATCCAAAGGATGTGAATCCTTAATCAGACCCAATTATAAAGAGTAGTATTGGGTCACTTAAGAAAAATGGTATTTTATTTTCACTAATACACACATTACTAAGTTATGTGTTTCTTGCTACTTTGCAGGCGCTGTTTTGAATTCTTAGATTTACTCTTACAAGAATGGCAGACACATTCTCTGGAAAGGTGAGCATCTGTCTGCTTTGCAACTGCATTTTTCCCTGGATTGAATCTTGAGACTGAATGCCTTAACAAGTAGTCCAGCCCATCTTGTATAAAAAAGGAAGGAACCTAAACATGTAAAAAAAAATTAACTCTGTATATCATCTTGACAATAAAAAAGGAAAAAAATAAAAAAAATTATTATAAATGTGATGTACATAGGAGTTACAGGTAAGTCAGGTACAGAGTACATTTCTTCTTGGATAATGTCACCCCTTCCCTCCCTCGCTCTTTCCCAGCAATAAACAGCAGCAAAGAAAAAAACCCTCTGTTTTCATTTCCTGGAGTTCATTTTGATAAAAATTAATATGATCAGATGCATGTAGACATAGTGCCTTTGTTGAACTTTTTTTAGAAACATAATTGTGATTTCCACTTATGTGAGCCACATACTATTGGCAGGAGCTTTTATTGAAATACTAGTATGCCTAGACATGTGGGCAAATGTGCAATTTGATGTTACAAAGCCAAGCTTATGATGATGTTGGTGTGGTTCCAGTGTATAACATACTGAGTCCCCCTGAGGAGAATGTTTAAAGCTGTTCTTCATCTACAACACACTATAATTTAGGTGCTTAGAAGAATTTAACTTGTTAAAGTTTTTTGTTTTCTTCCTCCAATAGTTTTTTTTTTTTTTTTTTTTTTACTCAGGTTGCTAGTTGGAAAATTCACATCACCATAATTAAAAAGAAGGATTGTGATGGAATTCTGGAGGGGGTGTGTGTCCATTCATTTTGAGATTCCTTCTTAAACAATTTTAGGGGCCTATTTTCTGAGTTAAATTTGGAAACAGCAAATGATGGATTGTGCCATACCTTTCTCTTTGGTCTATCATATAGCTTGTGAAAGGGAATCATTTGATTAATACTGAGATTTACTTAAGTATTAGGAGTTCCATTCTATACTGTAGGGGTCAGAAGTAAATTCCATCTGAAACGACTTTGCATTTAGAAGACATTCACATGCTTTTTCAGTACATGCTTGTTCTTCATCCTCTTGGGCGTTATGTCTTCTTTATTGAATGATAGTTTTGTTTTTTTGTTTTTTTTGGGTCCGGTTGTGGGGCCTGAACTCTGGGCCTGGGCACTGTCCCTCAGCTCTTCAGTTCAAGGCTAGCGCTCTAGCACTTGAGCCACAGTGCCACTTCCGGCTTTTTTCTTTTTGCTTATGTGCTGCTGAGGAATTGAACCCAGGGCCTCAGGCATGCAAGGCAAGTGTTCTACCACTGAGCCACCTTCCCAGCCCCTGAATGATAGTTTTGGAACTTCAAAGTGGAAAGTACAAGGAGATACTTAAGGTGGGAACAGGTGAGCAGAATTGAAAAGCCAGAGAGCCTCAGATGGAGAGCTTCTGTTGTTCATTTACCGTTTATATCATTGCCTGTACTAGCAAGGGCCCACTAAATATTTATTGAAGGAATGAAGGAAGGAATAGGGCAGTGACTTTCTATGAACTTGTTAGAATTATTCACTTTAGTTTGTTTAAAATTGTTAAGTATTTAAAAGACATAGCTGGCAATTTTTTTCTCAGTTGTGGTAAGATACAACTAAAGAGAATACCTGTTTATGAAATAGTTGACTGATTATAAAAAGTTATTTGTGTGTTATGCTGATATGATGTCACACACATGTAATCCCAGCTTAGACTTGAGAGACTGAGACAGGCGGATTTTAAGTTGAAAGCCATCCTATACAATATAGAGATTTGCGCTCTCTCTCTCTATCTCTCTAAGTAATCACATGGGCTGGGAAGGTGGGTCAGTGGTAGAGTGCTTGCCTTGCATATGAGGCCTTGAGTTTGATTCCTAAGCACCACATAAGTAGAAAAAGCCCGAAGTGGTGCTATGGTTCAAGTGGTAGAACCTCTAGCCTTGAGCTGAAGAGCTGAGGGACAGAGCCCAGCCGCAGAGTTCAGGCCCTATGACAAACAACAACAAAAAGTAATCACATTAGATTATAGGGACCGCGCCCAGCCCCAGAGTTCAGGCCCTATGACAAACAACAACGAAAAGTAATCACATTAGATTATAGTAATGTGATTTATACAGTCTTTTCAGTATTAAGCTTATTATAATTTTTGTAGAAATTCTGACTGTGGAAAGACAGTGTTTGTTGTTTGTGTTTATGAAAGAATGAGCTAAATATGGTCTGCAAGAAAGTTGTGATTTACAGAAAGTCAGTTGTGATTTACCACCTCACAAAAGACAGTAAGGCTATCTAGGACCTTAGTGATGGTAGGTAGGCATGAGGAAAAAGTATTGGCCAGGACAGAAGTTAAAGGTCCTGAAACACATATCAGGTCCTCTAAGCTATGTGTTGATTGACCGTTGCATGAAGGGTCCATGTTGCACATTGCTGAAGTTGTTTCATATATATGTTTCATCCACATACTTAATGCTTGTTCTTTCTTTTCTAAATATCTAGACATATATCAGTATTAGCAGAAACAATCAAGAAGGGAATACATGATGCTGATTCAGAAGCAAGGATAGAAGCCAGAAAGTAAGTGTTCATGATACACTGTCTATTATTCATATGCATTGTATGGACTGCCCTCTTGAAAAAGACTACTGATTTTTTTCTTTTTGTGCTGGTCCTGGGGCTTGAACTCGGGGCCTGGGTGCTGTCCTTGAGCTTTTTTTGCTCAATATTAGCACTCTACCACTTGAGCCACAGCTCTACTTCAGGCTTTTTGCTGGTTAATTGGAAATAAGAGTCTCATGGACTTTATTGCCCAGACTGGCTTTGAAAAGTGATCCTCAGATCACAGGTGTAAACCACTGGTGCCCAGCTGAACATATTTTCTTTCTTTCTGTTTTTTTTTGTTGTTGTTGTTGGTCATGGGGCTTGAACTCTGGGCCTGGGTGCTGTCCCTCAGCTCTTCAGTTCAAGGCTAGTGCTCTACCACTTGAACCACAGTGCCATTTCTGGCCTTTTCTGCTTATGTGGTGCTAAGGAATCGAAACCAGGGTCTCATGCATGCAAGGCAAGCACTCTACCTCTGAGCCACCTTCCCAGCCCTGAACATATTTTCTTAATCATGACTTTTTTAATGTGATCCAAAAAGTCTCCATTTCAGAATATTCCTGGTTTTCTTTTTTTCTTTTTCCTTTTATTTTGTTTAGGTTTGTTGAGTGATTCTAGTTATAAATAGGACTGAGATAAACAAAATACTTATTTTAAGAAAATAACTGTTAGTTTATGAGAAATTATTGCATTAATCATTGTAGTTAGAATTTGTGTGTTCTTTCACTACCCAAACTGTGTTAAAAAACCATGTCATGATTTGGTACACTCTATTAATTTACCGTGAAGAATCATGGTCCCTGGGTTTTCTCTCCCTAATATCACATCTCTACAGTAATGAACTGTGAGTCATGGTAAGGGGTATCAAATTGGCTAGTGCTCAGGACTGTCATAATGTCATGTGCCTTTTGAGATTCATAGTGAAGGTGGTTTTGCCATTTCAATTGAGTATACTCTATTCATGTGGCTGTAACTATACATTCCTAACCTCCCTAGGCATCATATTTTTTGTCATTTGATTGTAAATATCTCAAGTCTAGTATTAAAATTTACTTCTTTGGCGCTGAGTTGTAGCTCAGTGGTAGAGTGCTTACCTAACATGTATAAAGCTTTGGTTTGTTCACACCACAAAAAAAGAAGAGAGAAAGACAGGGAGGGGTGAGAAAAGACTTACTCTCGCACAGCAGATAAATAACTACTGCCAGTTTTTGCCAGTTTTGTATGTGTGGTTGTTTCTTCCATACTTCCATAATTGACCAGCTCTTCTAATGGATGTTAGTCCAGCATTATAGTTCTTAGTTCCATCTAGCCTCATCCAGTACTACTTTTTCTTAGGCTGCCTTTGCAGTTAAACTACACCCTTAGATGTAGTTCCTAACTCTGAAGTATTTCCTCAGCTTTGTTTTTGGTAGTTCCTGCCAAAACAAGACATAATTAATAGTTGCTAAAAATTATGTAGGATGGATTTATTAATGATGTACTTATGCTGTCTTTATCCTTGCATTATTCCCCTCCCTCTAGCCTTTTTTAGTTTTTATTTTAATCAAAGCATGAAATGCAGATTTCAAAAAGTTCTGAACATTTTTTCTTTTCTACATGTTACTAAGGCAATTGTATATACCTCAAATCAAAGAATGTAAAATTGCATTTATAAAGGCTGCCAATAACAAATCCAGTAGTTTTAGCTTTGTCTTCCCTAAGGCTTTCTAGTCGTATTAGTCCCTTTAAGTCCCACTTTGTAAAAAAGATTCAGATTCAGAGAAGTAACTTGATCAAGTCAAAACATCTGTAAGCTGTGAGGCCAGGATTCATGCAAGACCACCTTTGTTCATGCCCTCTTCCTTATGTTCTGCCAGTGCTGTTAACAGGTAGGCTACGGCTCTAGTCCTCAAAATGCTGTGTAGTGTACTCCAGAGGAATCTGTGTCTTTTCCCTAGATGTTACTGGGGTTTTCACAGTCACTTCAGCAGAGAAGCAGAGCACTTGTACCACACCTTGGAGTCCTCTTACCAGAAAGCCCTGCAGTCCCACTTGAAGAACTCGGACAGCATAGTGTCCCTGCCTCAGTCAGACCGTTCATCTTCTAGCTCTCAAGAGAGTCTCAAGTAAGGAACTCAGCTTTGCTTGACATAGTGTGAGGTTTTATATGTTAAATTTTGTGCATGAAATCACAAATCCAGCTGTGATTTTTACATGTGTACCTGGTAAAGCTTCTTCCTGACTTCAGGTGTATTTTGATGCCTGGCAAGATATTCTGGGGAAATGTAAGGAAACAATTGGCCTTGATCCCTGCCATAAGTAATTTTAGAATAACACAATGAATTGTAGAGTAGAGTGAACTATAGTTATCAGTGCTTCATAGGGTTTCCCAAAAGGATGTATTAGTTGGAGATAGGTTCTTAGTCTGTCTTCTTTGGTCTATATTTATAGTTGTTATTTTGCTCAATACTTGAGAGGTATCATCAGGTATAAAAAGCTGGAGCTTTATCAGGAATGGGATTTATAAGATAGCAACTCATAATTGTCTGCTACATTCTGAAAACCTTTGAGTAATTCTTCATTATCATCATTTCTTATTCTGATTTGCATTTGTATTACTACAGATAGATGCTCTGGATAATAAGTGTTAATACTTTTGTTTGTAGCCGGCCACTCTCTGCCAAAAGAAGTCCCACTGGCAGTACCACATCTAGAGGTAAGACCATAGCAAGCATCCTTGGGAGGACTGTTTCCCTCCTCTCATGTGACACTCTGGTGTCAGAAAGTCCTGGCCTGCTGTCAGCTCCTCTCTCGTCATAGTCCTTTGCCATTCAGCTGTCTGCTCACTGTCTTTGACAGAGCTCTGCTTAGCTTGGACAAATGCTTACATGTTAGGCTGACTTAGGCAGACAGAAGTCATCTGTGACCTCTCCTCCTGACCTCCTTCCAGTGAGAACATGCTGCCATGGATGCTGCTGCTCCTTTTTCACATCACATGATAGAATGATAGAAGAGAAGGGGAGGGGCCCCTTTGGTTTTCTGTGTGGCAGCAGCTTGGTGGCTGATAGATCTGGAGAGAGGAATATGTTTTCTAAAACTGGTGGGGCGCAGAGGGTGGGGGCAGAGGTGGTGGCTTGTGTTTGGCACATTCACACCACACCATAAAGAGGCTGGTCTGAAAGGAACAGATGGAAGTTACTTCCATTTCTCATAGTAAACCAGATCTGCGACTATTTCTTTGGGTTTCTTTGCATTTGTGGTCTTCCATTACTAGAAAACAAGTACAACAGACAAATGAGGTCACGTTTGGTTGCCCCAGCTGGTGTTTCAGGGCCCTTGAAACTCTTGGTCAACTGTGGGATTCAACATTTATTACAACTTGGAATTGGTTTATAAGACAAGCAAAACAATACCTGGCTTAACAGTATATGTTTGAAATTCTATGTACTTCTTACTGACATCTTCTCCTTTACCACTGAAGCATCTACAGTTAGTACCAAATCTGTGTCAACAACTGGGTCCCTCCAGCGATCTCGAAGTGATATTGATGTGAATGCAGCTGCCAGTGCCAAATCCAAAGTCTCCTCCTCTTCAGGCTCCACACCCTTCAGTTCTGCAGCAGCATTACCTCCAGGGTCCTATGCATCTTTAGGTAACCAAATGCCCCCCCTCCACTCACTACCCTGCTGTCTAATGTGATTCTTGTCTTACAGAACACCATACATGATCAAGGGAAGTCTCAACTGCTGCAGGGCTGATACTGATGTCTAGCCTTATATGGTTGGGCTGGTTCCCAGCCACCGTTTGTCCAATGTCCCTTTCTCAGGTCCATCAGGGCCTACAGGTGGCCCTGAGCATATCCTTCCCAGAGCTTACCTGCTTTGAGGCAAGCCAGCCAGTGCCTTTTGTCACTGCCTGTATAGCTCAAGCTGTATAGCTCCTGGCACTGATGGGAGCAGAGCCAGGGGCCTCAGAGAAGGAATCACTTGGCATGGTCATATTTAGAGGTCTCTCAGTTAGAGTTGAGGGGATGACAGGAGACTCCAAAGGAAGGTAGAGTCATGAACTCACATAGCCATATTTGTACAGGAGAGTGCTTGCTGGCTTCCTATATATCTTCTGGGAGGAGCATACTCTTACTATAATGATTATCCAAAAGTGCTTTATGAAAACTTATTTTCCAAAATTTAATATCTGACACAGTGACAGGTCATTTACCTATTCTTTCAGCAGACAACATTTACCAGACTGGTAGTATATTTCATTTTGTTTTTGAAAAATCCAAGTCATTCAAACCACAGATCTAAGGATGTAGCTATATTGGTTCTATTCTGAATTTTAAGGAAATGAGTATGATTTAAACAAGAAATACGGAAATGGAGTTATTTATGTGACCCACCAACAAATTGCAAAGTCATGTCTAAAACTAAAGTTCTGAAATGTGTTGAGATTTGAAGCATAGAATAGAACTTAAAGAGAGGACTCCTGGGGCAGGCCTTGGTTAGCTTGAACATTAGTAGTCTGTCCAACTGACTCTCTCCCCATTAACTACAAGTACTGACCACCTGGTTATGTGATTTAGGATCAGTGAAATTCTGTGAAGGTCCTTTGTAAACTGCTGTCCTGTAAGGTAGAAGAAAGCTGGGTTGTATGGTAGGAGCATTATATATAGGAGGTATATATCCTGAATATGTGTCTAATCAGTCTTATTTTCTCTGGTTTTCTGAAACCCAGTAAGAATTCTCTTGCCACTTTAACCATCACATTGTTAGGTAGGACTGTTAGAATGATATGGCACTGTGTAATCATTGAGCAAAGGAGAAATTCCAGCTTTTCCCTCTCGGATGGTGAATTACTATGTCATTTTTAGGTCTCGTACCTCAGTTTTGTCTTTACCTGTGGTACCTGTATTTCTTTCAATGCTGGAAAACAACAGCCTTTGACATACTCTGTGATTTTGTTTTTTTTGTTTTTTTTTTAATTTCTGTGCATATGTAGAATATTTAAATGAGTTCTGAAAAGACAACCTCCCCTTCCAAGACCTTGCTAGTGAAAGTCCCAGGTCTTTGATAGACACATAGCTGAACCTTTGGAAGAGCTCAGAACAAATTTCCAACCCAGTGTCACCTCTTCAAATAAGACCTCAACATTCAGAATTTTTTGCTATATCCCAAGAATGCTACTTCTTTCTTTACTCAAGCTTCCTCATCCCCCCAAATAGAATATAATCCTGCTGAAAATTTGCTAGTTACTGCTTAGATTGACACATGACCTTGGTGCTCAAGTGTAGCATTCAAGCTGATGATCCTTTTCCAAACTTCTAGAGTCCAGACACATGAGGGAAGACATGGAGTACATAGGCCTGGATGCAGGTACCAATGTGACAGCTGCTGCTGCTGCTGCTGCTGGGCGTGTAGTTGGGATAGGCCTTGCTGGAGTCAGCCTCTGAGCTTCTTACTGCTTCTGCCCTCGGGTGACTCCTTAGTACCTGAACTTTAGTCCTTTTTGCTCCTTGCCTTCTGCTAGTACTTTCTTTCAGGGAAAAGTAACCCTAAGGATGAAGGTTGGCTAAAACAATAACCACTTCAACTGTGGCCTGACCACAGGTTGCCCCTCTCTTTAAGCACATTACCCCATGCTAAGCTAATTTTATGGGAAGACGTACTTAACTTGCTTCAGACTCTGCTTTGCTGTTGAACTTATTTCTCTTTTGTTTTCGTTTTGAAACTGTACTTTGGCATTTTTAGTAGCTAATAACATTCTGCTTTTAGTTTTTGAATGTTACTAACTGTTCCCTGTTATCCCTTCCCTTGTTTTTGTTTTTGTTTTTTTTCTTTTAATTTGCTTAAAGATGGTACTACCACTAAAGCTGAGGGTAAGCGGTTTGTTTGTGTAATTGAGGTGTGTCTCGCTTTCTCTAGTCCTCTGTCCTCACCGAGTGTTGCCTGGGGCCCACTTGTCCTCACCAAGGTGCCTGCATGAGATGTTGCACGCTGTCTCCACTGCTCTTCTTCATCTGTCTTCACCGGGGATCCGTCCTCCCCCTACCTGATGTCTCCTCCCTTTCTCATGCAGTCCTTGGTCTTGTGAACTTTGGCACTGAAGTATGCCGTATGTGATTGTGACGCTTTGCCTACACTGGAGAGGAGCACTGACGTTATATGTGCTGCTGTCTTTGTGGGCTGCTTGCCTCGGGTTTTATTTCTCCTGAAGCACCACTTTAGCTTTTCTTTTTTTTCCCCCTGTGGGTCTCTTAGGACTTTCCTGTTTTGAAAATAATTTTCCATGTCAATTATTTAGGTTAAAGGCTGATAAAAAGTTTTCTGCTGAGTAATATAAAGAAAAAAAAATTTAAATGGTTCTGTCTCCCCTAAAGGTATACTACAAGTTTCATGATTTGGAGGGGGGGGGGTCCTGACACAGAGCCCTGTCCTCCTCATTTATTTATACTCATTTGTTCACCCGTTAATCATGTGCTCAGTGCCTTCTGTGGGTCAGGTTATGGGGTACATACCAAAGCTATAGCATGGGAAAGCAGTATGACAAATTCAGACTCACTGTGGTTTCTTTTGATCTCATTCTCAAGAAGTTCTTTCTGACTTTTATATTGCATTTTGAATTTTAGACACAGTAAAATCTGTGCAAGTCTTTGATTAGCATGTGCAAGTAAGCTCATTCCTCCCAAAGTTTCTAGATACAAATCAAGATAGCACTCCAAAGGATTGAAATTTAAAGATGCTTTCTCTGCTTAAGAGAGGGACAGACTTACTAACCCCCAGGATGACATTAATCATTCAGAACAGCAGGTTCATCTGCATATATTATATAGTCACCCTGAAGGGCTAGCATGCAAAGTAGATTGGGTCTTAGCTTAATGTGTGTATTGGATTCTAGCAGTTGTTCTTCTAGTGTGTATTATAGATCCTAAGGGAGTCAGAAAGAAAAAAAAAAGGAGTATTTTAAAAAGATGAACATAGTTCCAAGATTCAGGTTTCTCTATCTTATAAGAATTACCTGGGTGCTTTCTGTAAACATAGTCTTAGAGCCGGGCTCTGGTGGCTCACGCCTGTAATCCTAGCTACTCAGGAGGCTGAGATCTGAGGATCGTGGTTCAAAGCCAGCCCGGGCAGGAAAGACCGTGAGACTCCTATCTCCAATAAACCACCAGAAAACCGGAAGTGGCGCTGTAGCTCAAGTGGTAGAGCACTCGCCTTGAGCTGAAGAGCTGAGGGACAGCGCCCAGGCCCAGAGTTCAAGCCCCACGACCGACAAAAAAAAAAAACAAATAATTAAACATAGTCTTAGGTTTTTCTCCTTAATAAACTAAGTTTGGAAGGATCCAGAGAGCCAGCTTCCCTCAAGCCTCCCTGGTGATTCTTAGGGCCATACAATTTGTGAAATAAAAAGATGTACAAAAAGATGTACTTGCCCAGTTGAGAACCTCATTTGTGAAAGCAGAAAGCTGAGTCTTGGTGGTAGTTAGGAAACTGGGTGATTATTTTCTATTTATTCAACAGATGTAGTTTCATGTTTCTCACTCTTAAAGTAGAATTGGCATGTTCCCTCTACCTAGCTGGAAGTACGGTGAAAGAGCAGAGTAAAATAGAAAAATGTACATGAAATAGGAAGCAAAAAACAAACATGGTTAGTTATATACCCTGATCCCTATATGATTGAAAGCAACCTGTTTTGTTGCCTAGCCCTAGGAATTTTAACTTCTTAATTCTCCAGTCCTGAGCAAGGTAAACATCGGTCTTAACACAGTCACAGAAAGGCAGGAGACTGCCTTGCTTTCTTCTCTTCTGGCAAGAAATAGATATATGGGCCCCTAATCCTTTAGGTAACACAAGGCAGACTCTACAACTCCCTGCAGCCCCAACCCTGGTCCTTATAAGATTTTTTCTTATAAGTCTGTTAAATACACAAAAAAGGTGATCTCATCATAAAAAAAATTGAGAGCCAATATAATCCTAGCATTCAAGAGGCTGAGGCAAGAGAACTGAGAGTTTGAATTTAGATATGACAAGTTCAAGACCAGCCTAAGCAACATAGCGAGACCTTGTCTTGATAAATCAAGGCCTAGGAAGGTAGCCTTGTGATAGAGCATTTGCCTATCACATATAAGGCCCTGGATTTCATCCTAGCAAAGAAAGTCAGACTATGCTTTGTATTCTGGCAACTTTATTATCACAATGATTGAAAAAAAATCTATATTCTTCAGGAATAATTTATTATTCACATCAAGGAGCCCTAGTGGTTATGACTAATTAGAATACTTTTTTGTATGTGTGCTAGTCCTGGGGCTTGAACTTATGGCCTGAGTCTGTCTTTAGTTTTTTTGCTCAAGGCTAGCACTCTACCTACTTGTCATAGCTCCACTTCTGATTTTTGGAAGTTTATTGGAGAAAAGAGTCTCTATGGACTTTCTTGCCTGGGCTGCCTTTGACTCTCAGTCCTCAGTTCTCAAGGCCTTCTGAGTAGCTAGGATTACAGGTGTGAGTCACCGGCATCCAGCAAGGAATATTTTTTGTAAAAATATAAAAATATTATATCAAAACAAAAAATACAAAAACACAACTTATAAACAAAGGTATACTTCTAGGTTATTATCAATAAGCCATGCGTAATGATTTGAGGGATTTGGATGAAGGAAACATACCATTATGCTGCTCATGAGAAAGTGATAATTAGATATTATACAGCAAATGTACTTTATTTGCATATTTGAAAGCAAAGCAGAAAGATGTTGAAATTGTTTTAGACAATGGAATGGGGGCAAGGGAGAGTAATAGAATGAGTTTAATTGGGATATATGTTATGAATGTATGGAAATATCACAGTGAACCTGTTACTGCAGTAATATATGTACACAATAACACCATATATCTAATAAGTTAACCCAAAGTGCATAAAAGACTATCTTACACATAAGTAGCAAAAACAGAAATAAAACAGAACAAAACCCCTAAGCACTCATACAAGTACTATTATTAAAAGTGAGCAAGAAAATTGAGTATTTTGTATTTAACTTCTCCAGATAAGATATAAAAATGGTCAATCGATACTATCAGGCACTCATCACTAATCATTAGAGAAATGTCAGTCAAACCACAATGAGATATCGCCTCACTAGCGCATAGCCACTATCAAACAAATAGACAGTGTTGGTGTCTCGTGCCAATACAATGTTATCTGTGTTATGTAGTTCAAAGTCAGGCTTTGTGATACCTTAGCTTTTTTGCTCTTTTTGCTCAGGATGATTTGACTTCAGGGTGTTCTATATTCCCCTAAGACTTAAGACTTTTTTTTTCCTATTCTCTGAGTAATGTTATTGGAATCGCAATAGGGATTAGATCTGTAGGTCGAATCTGTAGATAGCTTTTGACCACTTTTACAAATTCTTACATAAAGGTGATGTACAGAGGTCTTACAGTTACATAAGTCAGATAAAAAGTACATTACATTTTTAAAAATATTTTTATTATCTTTAAGTAGTTGTAAAGGGGAGTTATCATTTAACAAAGCAATCCCAGTATCACCATTCTTTGTAGTTTCCTTGTTATTCAGAATTTATTTAAATATAAAGCAAATATGAAAACCTTATTTTCTCCTTTTTTGGCTTGGTCATAGGGTTTGAACTCAGAGCCAAGGTGCTTTCCCTGAGCATTTTTGCTAAAGGCTAGCACTACCACTTTGAGCCATAGCTGTACTTCCAAGTTTTCTGGTGGTTAATTGGAGGTGAGAGTCTCATGGACTTTCCTGCCTGGGCTGGCTTTTGAACCATGATTCTCAGATTTCAGCCTTGTGAGTAGTTAGGAATACAGCACCTTCTCTTATTGTCTCCCTTTTCTTTTTCTTTTTTTTTTTTGGGGGGGGGTAGTCCAGTCGTGGGGCCTGAACTCTGGGCCTGGGCACTGTCCCTCAGCTCTTCAGCTCAAGGCTAGCACTCTATCACTCGAGCCACAACGCCACATCCAGCTTTTTTTTTTTTTTTTTTTGCTTTTTGCTTATGTGGTGCTGAGGAATTGAACCCAGGGCCTCATGCATGCAAGGCAAGTGCTCTACCACTGAGCAACCTTAGCCCCATTGTCTCCCTTTTCAAAACCTCTTATTGTCTCCCTTTTCAAAAGGTATCATATCTATACACTCTCTTGCTCACCTTGCACTGTTTGCTTATTAGATCTTGAGGTATTTGCATTCTGGATTAGAGAGAAGTGTTCTCATTGATCACTGATACATTGCATTCACTTTATTAAGAATGATGCAGAAAAAGGTAAAAGTTAAAAAAGAATGATGCAGAGGCCAGGTGCTGGGGTCATGCATGTCTGTAATCCTAACATCAGGAGGCTGAGATGTGAGGATCATGGTTCAAAGCCAGCCTGGGCAGGAAAATACATGAGACTCTTGATCTTTAAATAACCACCAGAAAACCACATGTGGCATTGTGGTTCAAAGTGGCATATCACTAGCCTTGAGCAAAAAAAGAGCTCAGGGACAGAGCCCAGGCCCTGAGTTCAAGCCCACAACCAATTAACAACAGCAATAACAACAACAACGAGAATGATGCAGTGGCTCACTCTCTTCTCTGATTCCAGCTACTCAGGAAATGGAGAGTAGGAGGACCAATGTTTGCAGCTAGCCTAGGCAAAAAGTTACTGAGATCCTTACTTCAACAAATAAACCTGGTATGGCAGCGCACATTTATAATCCCAGATACATGGGAGGCATAGGTAGAAGGATCATGGTTCAAGACTGACCCTGAACTAAATGCATGAGACTGTGTCTAAAAAGGAGTGCCAGGTTGTGGCTCAAGTGGTAAAGTACCTAGCAGGTTTGAGACCTGAGATCAACTCATCCTTCTAAGAAAATAAGTTTTGATGTAGTTTACATTCAACGGGGAAAATTCTTAATTATAAAACATGCAAACAAGGCACCAGAAACTTTGACAATTACGTATGACAACATTTTTTAGCAACTGGAATAGAAATAAATTTTCTTAGCCTACTGAAATGTTATAGGTAGTATGAACTTTGATCTGTATTTTTGTTTTTGGTTCATGCAGGGAATTTCACCAGGGTCTTGCCTGCATGCATACTGTTGCTGTTCCAGGGCTAGTTTTGTGGTTTTTTTTTAATTTCCCTTTACTGCTTCTGTTTAACCTTATGTTACAGGATAAAGGCAAAGAAATAAAAACTAGTCATTTGCAAGTAAGCAAATGACATATTAGTTGTAGATAATATACTACCTACATAGCCCCACATAACCTAGACACAAATTAGTGGATTAATAAAAGTTTTCCAATGCCTACATTTAAGATAAAAATATAATGATTAAATTCTTAATTTCAGTCAAGCTATAAAATATAATTTAAGCCAGGTGTAGTGACTCATGCCTGTTAATTGTAGCTACTCAGGAGGCTGAGATCTGAGATTACCATTTAAAGCCAGACTAGGCAGAAAAATTCATGAGACTCCCCCCCCCCCCCCCCCGTCGTGGGGCTAAAACTCTGAGCCTGGGCGCTGTCCCTCAGCTCTTCAGCTAAAGGCAAGTGCTCTACCACTTAAGCCACAGTGCCACTTCTGGTTTTCTGAGTGGTTTATTGGAGATAAGAGTCTCACTGACTTTCCTGCCTGGGCTGGCTTTGAACTGTGAACCTCAGATCTCAGCCTCCTGAGTTGCTAGGATTACAGGCATGAGCCACCAGTGGCCAACTCATGAGACTTTTATCTCCAGTTAACCAGCAAAGGCCAGAGCTGTGGCTCAAGTGGTAGAGTACTAGCCTTGAGAAAAGAAGCTAAGGGACAGCTCTCAGGCCCTGAGTTCAAGCCCAAGTACTTGCATACATGCATGCACACACACACACACATACACACACACACACACAATTACAACTCTTTTTTTAATTAAAATATACTCTATATACTGAAAAATAAATCACACACAAGTTCAAGCCCAAGTACTTGCATACATGCATGTACACACACACACACATACACACACACACACACACAATTACAACTCTTTTTTTAATTAAAATATACTCTATATACTGAAAAATAAATCACCTTTGGATCAGTCTATAAAAGTTGACCAAATAGGGGCTGGGAAGGTGGCTCAGTGGTAGAGCACTTGCCTTGCGTGCATGAGGCCCTGGATTAGATTCCTCAGCACCACATAAGCAAAAAGAAAAAAGCAGGAAATGGCGCTGTGGCTCAAGTGGTAGAGCACTAGCCTTGAGCTGAAGCGCTGAGGAACAATGCCCAGGCCCAGAGTTCAGGCCCCAGGACCAGACCCCCCCCCCCAAAAAAAAAAAGTTCACCAAATGCTTTGGATAAATGAGAGACATGGCTTTGTAAATTAATGAAACGAGAGAAACCCTATGATCTTACTTGAACATTAATCATGTGGAAAAAACAAAATGATCTTCTTTACCCACACAGAAAAATCAACAATCTGTAACTGTCATCACAAATGAAATGTTGAACAAAACAATGCAATTAAAAAAATATATCCATTGTGCTATGATTTAGATTTTGTTGTTGGTGGTGGTGGTAGTGGTGCCTGATCTCTGGGCCTGGGCACTGTCCCTCAGCTCTTCAGCTCAAGGCTAGCACTTGAGCCACAGCGCCACTTCCGGCTTTTTTCTTTTTGCTTATATGGTGCTGAGCCCAGGGCCTTATGCGTGCAAGGCAAGCACTCTACCACCTAACCACATTCCCAGCCTGATTTAAAATATGTGAAACAGTGCCTTTTATTTCCCAGCATATTTGACTCCCACAATCGAAATTACAACCGAGTTTATCATTTAGGATTTGTGAAATAATCAAGTTTTACTCATTTTGAGTTTTGTTCTTAGGGAACATATACTCCCCATATACTTTTTTGGGGGGCCTGAATTCTGGGCCTGGGTGCTGTCCCTCAGCTCTTCAGCTCAAGGCTAGCACTCTACCACATGAGCCACAGTGCCACCTCCGGCTTTTTTCTTTTTGCTTATGTGGTGCTGAGGAATCGAACCCAGGGCCTCAGGCATGCAAGGCAAGCACTCTACCACTGAGCCATCTTCCCA